CGACAATCAGTTCTCTGAAAATCTAAGATAATCAAATTCTAAGAAGGGCTGCCGCTAAATCCATGCTTGAGCGCCGACAATCAAGGGGGTTGATACTTTTCATTACACATATTCTTATATGTTATTTCAAAAGCTTTACAAAACCCTATACTAAAATATGTTTTTATGGAGTTCTTGTTGAGTTATAAAGGTTTGAAGTTAACAATTTTTTGACATAAAATGTAAAATATCCTGTAACATATTCAGTTTTTGGTAATCATAGCTTAATATTGTTTTGCATGAAATAATGAGACCAATCAGTTGGTGTAAAAAAACGTAATATTAAATATTTTCCCATTGGTTTTTTTTACTGGCATTTCAACTTTTTTACTTAAAAAAAAAAACATAATTACTTATTAAAAAAGTATGCAGTTGCATGTTGAATTTTACATTTTTTAAAAATAATTATGTTTTCTTTATACCAGTTGATTAGTCTCATTATTCCGTGCAAAAAAAGTATTAAGGTATGATTACCAAAAACTGAATATTTTATAAGATATTTTACATTTCATATCAAAAAAATTGTTAACTTCAAACCTTTACTCAACAAAAACTCTATAAAAACATATGTTAGTATAGGGTTTTGTAAAGCTTTTGAAATAACATACAAGAATATGTAAAAAAATCACATGACTATTCAAGGTCAAATCAATGGCACGATCTTATGTTCCCCTCAAAACCCTACAACTTTTGTTTGAAACATTTTTTCGTATCTCAAGTCGTTTCCAAGATAAAGAGCCCAGGTCGGACGTTAGACACCCTGTATATACATATATTATTCAATTTATTATTGACTGACATTAAAATCGGTCTAAATGATCTTGGAAAGTTGGTGTTATCAAAATATTTACCAAAATATTCGACTGAAACATTAAGCAATCTCGATTTATTGCGAGATATTGATTTACGTGATTTTCTCTAAACATATGATGACATTTAAATATTCCCTGCATTTCTGCAGGAAAAACCACTATGGTTTTGACATTATTCTGGATGTATGAGACCTAAAACAACTCGAATTTTACTTTCCGCTCGAGGTCAAAAAATCGCATTTTTTGGACATGTTGTGTGCCTCGGGTCGGGCATAAGGGGTCGCGCCAAATTAGGATGAGGATCCGAGGCGTCAGGGTTTGATCGGGGTTATTGTATTAATTCACTTAACGTTCTCACTATCAAAGAACTTTTATTTGAACTAAACACTTGACGTTATCTTTATTTTCACAATATTACACTTTCTAGTTACTTAACTAGTTGAGCGGAAGCGATTACGTATAACTTCGCGAATTGCGCGCGCGACTGCGATAAGATGTTATAGATCGCACGCGGTTAGCGAGGTTACTCTTAATTAACGACTCGAGAGCGACTGCCGGGCGCGCCTCCTGCTCGGTTTTTATAGTATCGCTTTTTGGAAGTTCCTTGATCGGAAGGGGTGCCTGGCAACGGGCCCCCTCGGTCAAGAACCTAGGTGCAAACAAAGTAAATTCAAAATCCTTCTGCTTTGCTTGCACGTTAGGCAATTTCGGTTCCGCGTGTATCTCGCAGTGTATGCGTTTTTACGCGGTCAGTGCCCGTCGTCAAGCGGATGTAATACGAATAGTTATATCTTTTAAGGATATAACAGACATTCTCCTTTGAATATTATTTATAATAAGGTCATCAATACAGTTTAAATGTTTACACGACATATATACATACAGTTGTTAACTAAACGTCTCAGTAGACATACGTGTTGTCACACTTATTCAATTTTATAGTGATAACTATCATATATATTTTATTATAATGACATCAAAAAATCTTGCATTTTAACATTTAACGTTTGTAAGTTTCGCATATATATTTTTTACACATTCTTCTGTGTGTCTGTCTGTAGTCTTGAGTTAATGTTTCTATAGTTTAATAACTATTGTAAATTAATTTTACGATCAATTAAAATTAATATTAATCAAAATTAATATTGGTCGCTAGTGGTTTTCTAAGCTTAAATTAATTTTATTTTTATTGTATTTTATTTTTTAATTTATTTTATTTTATTTTGTGTCTAGTATTACATTTTCCGCTTTTATGTTTATTAATTTACAATAATTTTGCGGATATTTTGTATTATTAATTCGTTTTTATCATTGTTTATTGTATTATTTCAATTGTGAAATTATTATTACAGTGTTCATTTGACAAGGACCTGAACCAAACGTAATGAAGATCTAATAGATTAATATATTTTTTGCTCAGTTTGGTTGTCTACAATTTTTTTCAAAGATTTTCATTCTTATGATTACTATTCACGTTCTCAACATTCTTATATTCATGATCAATTTTTAATTTTTTTAATTACCGATATTTTTGTGTCTGTTTGTAACATTTAAGAAAACGATAAACTTGCGACAAACTGACATATAATTATACCAACGAAGGTACTGTTTAATGATTCGACCATACGGGCTGTGATCCTTTTCAAAAATACAGTAGAAACATCCTAAAAAATTGATATAAATACAATCAGAATCACCAATTAAAACGAACCATGAACAGCAAATTAGAGACTTACAATGAGTTACAGCATATCGTCTTTAAGATGTAAGAATAAATTTATGCTTCGGAGAGATTTAACTTATGACAAGAAAATAATTTATCCGTTTCGCTTATGTCATCTTGCCTTGACAGAACACACAATACTAACAATAATATTCACGCCAAAAAATATGTCAAAGGTTACATCAATTTCTAAACAATCATACATCGTGCTAAAACTTTCTGTGTCTTTTTGTAAATTAATTGTGGAATTTAATTTCTTAATAAAGTACATTTCGGCAATTTCTCTTTTTCTTCTATTATTTTCTTTATGCAGGATTGAAGGATTAGACCAGTCGAATTCATGGCCCATATTAATTCTGTGCTCGCTAACAACAGAAAAATTACTCGTTCTTAATATTGCGTCGATGTTCGTTAATCCTTGTACCAAGATGTCTTTTTGTCTGCCCTACATAATTAGAGTCACAATCATTACACGTGATACGATAAACTACGCCGGTTTGTTTTTATTAGTATCTAAATTATCTTTCCCGGTTTTTATTAAACAATTTAGTTTTTTGGGGATGGTAAAAATTACGTTAAGATTCTTTTTCTTTAGAAATCTATAGATGTCATTAAAAAACCGATTACAATATGGAATGACAATGAAATTATCCTTCGAAACATCTGTCGGATTCACATTTAAAATTTTTTGATCCACATTGCTTATCGGGTGTGACAATTTGTGGGTTCTATCATTAACATATTTATTAATGAGATTATCCGGGAAACAATTGTTTTTCAATATGTTTTTTACAATTTTTAAATTCGAGTCGTGAAACCGTTTATTAGATAAAAGTATTGCATGGTCGACTAGATTAATAATGGTATTAATTTTATATTTTATCGGATGATTTGAGAAAAAATTAATATATCTTCCTGAGAATGTTGGTTTTCTGTATCAATTAGTTATAAGCTTATTGTCATCCCTACAGACAATTGTATTTAAAAAATTGAGTGAATTATTAGTTTCAGTCTCATAAGTAAAAGTTAATCTCGGATGATAACTATTAAACGCTTTGCCTACCTCTAACAGTTTGTCATTAGGGAGGACCATGAATATGTCGTCTACATATCTATAAAAACACGGTGTTTTGAAACCAAGTACGGACAAACAATTTGTTTCAAGATCCTCCATTACAATATTTGCGAGTATGGGGGAGAGAAGTGAGCCCATTGGATTCCCATAAATTTGTTCATAAGCTACCCTATTAAACATGAAACTAGTAGAATTCAATACCATGTCAATCGCATGACTAAACTGCTGACACAGAAAGTTTTAGCACAATGTATGATTGTTTGTTTAGAAATTGATGTAACCTTTGACATATTTTTTGGCGTGATTATTATTGTTAGTATTGTGTGTTCTGTCAAGGCAAGATGACATAAGCAAAACGGATAAATTATTTTCTTGTCATAAGTTAAATCTCTCCGAAGCATAAGTTTATTCTTACATCTTAAAGACGATATGCTGTAACTCATTGTAAGTCTCTAATTTGCTGTTCATGGTTTGTTTTAATTGGTGATTCTGATTGCATTTATATCAATTTTTTAGGATGTTTCCACTGTATTTTTGAAAAGGACCACAGCCCGTATGGTCGAAACGTTAAAATAAATATACATATATTAACAACTCTAATTTGTAGCCAGTGTCGTCAGTTCAATATCTATACCCTTAAAAATATAAACCTCATATACATACAATCCGCAAAACAAATTAAATGTTATTCTCCTCCTTATTCAAACTGTCCGGCCGTCGGAGTGTCTCCCTAACGGTGACCATCGTCAGGAAGGAAGCAGAGCACTTAAGGGGTTAGGCCAGTCTAGAGTCCTCAAAAAAGGCCTAACTTTGACAATTTATTCTGGGAGTAAGGAAAAAGAAATGGAATTTCTCTCTTTCAGGCTTTATTAAACATGTATTTGAGTGTATAAAAAAATTTTATTATGACATTTTGATACAAAATGGCGGCTACTGGGCCAATCTTCGGAATCACCTTTTTCAAGAGGGCCTCTATGGGCGACGGTGATTCTAGGAACTCGTGCTATCTGAAACAAAATAAAGAACGGGATTTTAATCTACATAAGATTTGCTAGTAAAGTACGTATGTTTTTAGCTTTACATCAATTTTTCGCAAAATGGCGGACTTGTAAAAAAAAGGTTCAATTTTTGACCGAAAAAATGAGCAGTAAATTGTTTATAAAAAAAAAAGTTGCAACGATAACAAAAAAATCGTACGTAGTTTACTAGATAACGTTACTGTGAAGCTACAGTTAAAATTTCAAGTGGATACGTGCGATAGTCTCCGAGTACCATCGTCGCCCGATTTGAAAAATGCAGTTTCAAGAAAAACGCGTTTAAAGTTTTACGTGCTGAAAATTTTGTTATACCTTCAGTCTGCGATGCCTGCGCCGTACATTTCACCTTCCATGGACACGTGGAACTCATCTTCTTCCTTTCTGGATGCCTTCTGTTCGATTCTAGATCTTCTTGCAGCATCTGAGAGCGAACGATCGGATAATTTGATGCGGTTTTGATCAGTCTCTTGACAGTAATTATAGCAGTTTGGCCCAATTTTGATGCCTATGTTCTGCATGACTCTCATGGCACTTGTGAGGCCATCATTATAAGTACCTGCAGCAATATATACAGCTGTGTCAAGTACATTTTTGCCACTGGATGTCACTTTTGGGGCCATCGACCATACTGTAGCGTTGAAACTCTCATTACTGTTTTGAGTGAAGCCGCCTATGCAACGAGTGAGTAGGTCATCACTGGTTAATTTTTCATAAATTGGAGTTATAGTCTTGTACACTTCTTCATGTAAAGGTGGTTTATGTGTATATTCGTCCAAAGTTCCAGTGGCCTTGGCCCTTTGCCACGAGCACCACGAATTTTCTCCGCTCGGGCAGTGATCGTGCTTGGGCTTGGCATCTGTTGATAATTTGTGATCTAGCGTTGCGTAGATCGCAGTCCTCATTTTCTCTACAGAATCATGATTTCTGCGTATCGCTAGACCATAATAAATTGACAGTTCATCGATCAATTTGCCAGTTAGTTTACCTTTTCCGCCGAGGCCCTTTGTTTTCTTTTTTAAATTCCGGAGATGCGTACCCATGCGTTTCTGGACGTGATCGATACACTCTTTTTTCTGGACAATCGAATCTTCATAAGGTGATGAATTTACAATACCCGTATATGTCTTAGAGTCTCCATCTCCGATATAGCTAGTATATTTCAGGTTGTGTAAAGATTTAGAGCGCTGGAACATTTCGCAAACAGCATTGACTTCCATGAGGCCCGAAGAGCCCTCGTGGTTAGCTTGGCATTCGTCGGCATGGGTTTCCAACCATTCCTCGTAATTTGCTGTACCTTCCTTCGTTTTCCAAAATTCGCATGCTTTACAGTACTTACATTTTACCGAAACGTCCACAACTTTACCAGTCTTCCATCCAATTAGCGAGACGAATCCAAAAAGCGACGAGAATCCTCGTTTTCGCCATGATCCATCACCGGACACAGCTATTCCTCCGGAGTTACTCGATTCATCGGTTTTTCCTTTTTCCTCTTGAGCAGCTTTCTTCATACTTTGCTCACACATTATTTCTGCACCACTATGAATACATTTCACTAAAGAGTCATAAAATGAATGAAAAATCGGCCGTGGAAGATCCATGAATGCACAAAATTTTTGTATGCCGTGTAATCCCACTCCGATTAATCGCATTGCAAGAATGATTCTGCGATTAATTTTGTATGCTTTATCAATAAATGAACAGCTCGGAACAAAAACTTTATCGCATTCTTTACACGTAATCACAATCTTGAAACCCAAGCCACGATTTCCCGTTTCGGTAAATTCTACATCGGACTTACACTTTTTACAAACAACTACTTGAGAAATTGCTGTAAACATTGTCAAAAAGTCTATCATCTTGTATCCAACACTAGGATTCACTTCAATATCATCTGAATTATTTGCAGATAATTTCTTAGCAGACGTACCAACGTTCTCACTAGGCTGCTCCATTTCAAAGCGATTTAACGGACGCTGCCGCTTTGAAATGCTTGGTCCATCTGCTTTGGATTTCCGTCCTCTTTTGCCTTTTTGCACCGAATAAACTGGCTTCTTGTCATCACTCATATTGTTAACAATGATAGTTTATCAGTAAAAACCACTGTAGTCAATAAAATAAAATAAAATAATTCGTTAAAGCAGAAAAATTAACGAAAACAAAAAGAAGCGTTCACGCGTGGTGTCGTTTTTCAGCTGTCTGACTCACACACAAGCCCACACATACAGCTGTATTGATAAACAAACACTTCCTAACGACCTTTTGGGGAACAATTATTGGCCCCGTTGGTACATTAGTGCAAAGAGTAAGGTAAAAAGGGGACAAAAGGAAGCCCGCCGCGGCAAGTAGAAAATGCGCTCGTCGCCCGCTCCGAACGCTTCGACACTACAACGGATTGGACAGGGAAAAAATTGTTTTTTCACTATTCTACCAATTGAATAATGTTTTTAGGACCCTAAAGTGTACTTTAAGCCAATAAAAAAAATTTCGATTTTTTGAAAATCCTAGACTGGCCTAACCCCATAAGTGACTCCCTTACCAACACTAATCAAAGTCACAACAACATTATATAAATTAAACATAGAAAAATCACAAGAATTAAAATTTAAAAATCGGAGAGATCACTCACCCCGGCAGTAAAAACAAAGAGAAGACGATGCTACACGTGACACATCACTCTAACGACTATGCGGTATTTTACTTCGGCACAGTCGATACATATATACGCAAAAAAACCAAAAAATTAAAATAAAAATAAAATATAAAATAAAAACAACTAAAACTTATCGGCGCTCATATCGAAGGTCTAACAAAACACAGATATGCATGATCACAGAGCTAGATTTTGCTAGCCCCGCACTTTTCGAATTTTGAATTTTTCTTGATTGTGCTGCATTGTGCTACGTTTGTGCTAACTTGTGGCGCAAATGCAAGATCGATAACACCAACAATAAAAAACTTGTGCCATATTGTGTCGTTGGAAAAATTTCAATATCTCATTTTATTTCGATAAAACAAATTCACAAAGATAGTTTAAAAAAATATTACAAAGATTAAAAAAACATAAATCACACTGCAATGCAAATATAGAATTTCTGCAAGTTGTGCTGAGTTGTGCCACTCAAAATCTACAAGACACATGCATAAAAAGCAGGGATTAGCCTGAAGGGATGAAAAAATTAATAAAAAAGGGATGAGAATGAATAAAAAGACATTTTATACATCTAATTTTAATATGTATAAATATATGTAATAAATATATTTAATATGACACACACACACACACACACCGCTTTTTGCGTTACTCGGAACCAACGACGTGGACGTAGCGGTATTCTGGTTCCATTTTGTTTTTTTTTATTTTTGTTTTTAATTTTTTTTGTTTTTTTAATTTTATTAATTTTTTATATATTTTTTGTGTTTTATATTTTTGATGTTATTTTTTATATTTTTAATATTATAGATGTACATATATATTATAAAAGCTTTTGTACTCGGCTCGAATTATTGTGTTACAATAAAAAAAATATCGACGGCAATCGGAGCCTGTGCGGATGTCATGCACAAAAATTAATAAACAGAAATGAGATCTCACATAAAGCTCATTTATTCAATTCTAAACGTTTCGACCCACTTCGGGTCTTCTTCAGTAGCTACAACATACAAAAAATTCAAGAAATCAAAAAGATAGTCATTACAATTAAAAAAATATAAACCTCAAATACATACAATCCGCGAAACAAATTAAATGTTCTTCTCCTCCCTATTCAAACTGTCCGGCCGTCGGAGTGTCTCCCTAACGGTGACCATCGTCAGGAAGGAAGCAGAGCACATAAGTGACTCCTTTACCGACACTAATCAAAGTCACAACATTATATAAATTAAACATAGAAAATTCACAAGAATTAAAATTTAAAAAACGGAGAGATCACTCACCCCGGCAGTAAAAAACAAAGAGAAGACAATGTTACACGTGACACATCACTCTAACGACTGTGCGGTATTCTACCTCGGCACAGTCGATACATATATACGCAAAAAAAAAACTAAAAATAAAAATAAAAATAAAATATAAAATAAAAATAAGTAAAACTTATCGGCGCTCATAACGAAGGTCTAACAAAACACTGATATGTATGATCCCAGAGCTAGATTTTAGTAAATTTTTCTATTAAAGGATCAAACATATCATTTAATTTATCGGTGTCGCTGTGTAAATTTAAACTATTTCTCTGACGTTTTATGTGGATCATTTCCGATATCAAACGTTTATCCAAAAAAGGCTCCTCGTCTAAGACTTTTACATCCTCCCAATTAAAATCATGATTCAATAATCTATGTTCCGATATGACTGATAATTGTGACGCGTTTCTTTTTATATTGTTACGGTGTTCTTTCGTCCTAGTTTTTAATAGTCTATCCGTCTGCCCTACGTACGACGCATCACAATCCATACAATCAATTTTATAAACTACATTGTTATGGAGTTCCCTTGGTAACTTATCTTTGTGTACTTTAATGAATTTACGGAGACTGTTAATTCCTGTATAAGATGGAATGACATTCAAATCACGTGTTATATCTTTGAATCTCTCCGATACATTATTAATACACGGAATATTAAAATACGAAACTTTTTTTTGTGTTAGAATTTTATCGTTGCATATATTTTCTCTATTGTTATGGAACTTATTGCTGTAGAGGAAGAACAACTTTTTTAGCCGCGTTTGTAATGTTTGAAATATCAAATTGAGAGGATAATTATTAGACAAAAGAACTCCAATCATAAACTCAAAGTTACTCTTATGGAATTTTGGATGAGAGAGCCAAAAAACTCTGTCTATGAGGCTGATAATGATGCCTTTTTTATGGCAGAGAGGGTGCTGCGACTCAAAGTTTAAATATCTTCCTGAATACGTCGGCTTATGAAACAAATGAAATTCAATGTTTCCATTGTTCACAATAATGGTGACGTCTAAAAAATTCAGTCGGTTGTCAACCCCCTCCTCCATGGTGAACTGCAATCTCGGATGGAAAAAGTTGAAAGTGTTTAGTACAATATTAAGCATGGAGAGTGGGGCCGCCAACGCGATGTCGTCAACATATCTAAAATAAAATGGAAGTGACACCGGAATCGCAGCAATCGCCCTACTCTCCAAATCTTGCAACGTGATATCCGCAATGATCAGTGAGAGGGGGGAACCCATAGGCGTGCCAAAAGTCTGTTGATAACAAACATTATTAAACATAAAATAGGTCGAATTCATAAAACGAATTGCCAATAAAAATTTATCTCGTGGAATTATACACTCTTTTTCAATATACCCCCATCTGTTTATTAAACTATCAATAGCCATATCCAATGGTACGTTAGTGAACAATGATGCAACATCTAATGAAACTAGTTTCACATCACTATCCACACATAAACCATTTAATATGTTCACTAATTGGAAACTATCAGAAATGTCCGAATCAGGTTTCGGAATTGCCTTATATATTATCTTATGTAAAAATTTTGCCAAGTAATAAAGAGGTGTATTCTTTGATGACACAATGACACGTAAAGGGCAATTTAGTTTATGCACTTTCGGCAGACCGTACGCTCTCGGTAAAGCCCCATCCGTGCAGTTCAGAGATTTGTATGTTGTTGACGAAATGTAATTATTCATTTTCCATCTCATTAAAATTCCGTGTAATTGATTAATTAGGTTCTTTGTCGGATCTTTTTTGACAACAGTATAAGTATCCCGGTCAGCCAGCAAATCACACATTTTGTCCATATACATATCTCTGTTTATCGCGACCGTGACATTTCCCTTATCCGCCTTCATAAATAAAATATCGGGATTGTCTTGGATGAATTTACCCGTCCATTTGCAAGCCTTAAAGAAACTATTTTTTGTGTGAACTTTTTCAGACATAGAAATATGGAATTTATTTACAATATTATGGGAAAGGCTCTATTTCTGACCGCAGATCATTTTTCCACCGGGAGTTTAAAAATATTTTGTTCTATATTTTTCAACAACTCTATGGTAGTTTTATCTTTATCAATGACTGGCAGACAGAAGTTCTCTCCCAACTGCAACAAATCTCGAATTTCACGCGGTATAGATACGGATGATAAGTTCAAAAACCGTTTATCTCTTTTATCAGCAACTACAAGAAAAAAAAGTTTTTATATAAAATAATATACATTCGAGAGAACTTGAACAGACCATTTCATATCTACTTTTCGTGATCTTTTTGTTTTTGACTATAATATTCTCGGAGCTTTAGACAATTATATGTCTTTTTCTATTTGTTCATTTTAAGAATCAACTAATGCAAATGCGTTCTCACCTACACATCGAATTATTTTATAGGGGCCTTCAAATAAAAACTTTTTGACAGCCATCCAAAGCATTTGAGAGATGTTTTATTCTTACAAGGACTAAGTTTCCGATTAATAATTCGACCTTTGATTTACCTCTTTGTTCTTATTTCTTTCGATATTTAAATTCTTTCTTAAATTTTCTTTAGACAATGTGATTAGGTATTTATGCGAAGGTTTCTTACTATTAGAAAATTGGACGATCTTTTGGATTTCATCATGAACAGACTTGCCATATTGCAATTCATAAGGGACTATTTCCGTACTTTGATCAATTGTTACGTTTAATATTTTTCTTCAATTTTTGGTACAAAATTAACCCATTTTATGTGCTTTTCCACACAAAGTTCTAAATAATCGACTCAACTCTCGCATCACTCGTACAGTAGGATTTGACTGAGGATCTCTAATGTGTGGAACTATATAAAACTTTTATACTCTCAGCTTCAAGTCTCGTTTTCCATAATGCGGAAGTGAATTGGCTACTATGATCAGAAAAAAATACGCTTATCCAAATTTCGGAATGAATACATCAATGAATTTTTTTAAACACATACAAATCGTAGCCTTTCTCATTGAAAATAAATTGACGTATTTTATAAAAGGATCTAACATAACAAATATATTGCATTCCTCCTCTGGCTATCGGATAAAAATTGACAATGAATAGATTGTTTGGTCCGCTTGATTCGA